ACGCCCTGAGTGATACCATAAACGCTAAATTCGTACCTAGGTCTTTTCGTGCTGTGCAATTATTTTTGGTTTAGATATAATACAGTGGGCTACTCTCGGGGAAATGGGAGGTGGCCACTTAATAGGGGTTGGCTGCTTAATAGAGGTTAGTGTACCTTGAACATTTTTTCACTATCGCGTTATAAATTTAGCTAAATTTCGTAGTAAACATGGAGTCAATTCACGACAATCATGATAGACGTCATTCTTGGAGACCCAGGGGCAGTTAGTGGGGGCGGGGAAAAAGTCTAAACGGGTCTTCGCCTGAATTTTTTTCTCACCCGTTTAGACTTTTCCCTGCTCCCACTAACTCCCCCTGGGTCTCCAAGAATGACGTCTATAATGATTGTCTTGAATTGACTCCATGTTCACTAACACAACACAGCATTCCCTAAAATCAACCCAGTACACATTTAAACATTGCACAAAAATATTTCAGTCTTTTAAAGATGGAAGAATGATGTGGTTTTGCATGCGAGGCTCTTGAACTTCTTTAATAAAATGGTGCGTCAAAGGATGATTTTAACAGAATTTGGTAATTTGTATATTTCTTTGAAATAAAAGGATATTTTGCCAAAAAAACCATCCAGTAATTTTTGTCATGCCCTAGCCTATCTACCATAGGAATATGAGTGAAATCGAATTTTCGACCCTTGCCGCAAAATTAAGAAGTTGTCTGATTTTTACAGGTAGGCACTCCTAATAGCCTGCAAAAGCAGATGTATTTCTGGCTGTTGCTTGTCTGACCTCTTAAAGAATCTGTTACAAAATTTTCTTTTTGCAAAGGTTAAACTCCACTCCCCCTTCCCACCCCCACAACAAAATAAAAAAGAGGGAAAAATTCCAAAGCAGCTCCCAGATGTAATAGCAGTATGAAGAGTGAGAGGAACAGAGAATACTCTTAACCACAGTGATACATTACTAATGAACTAGTAGTAATGGACATTAATCCAGCAACAGTTTATTATGATATGTTCTCTGTTTCTCAGGGGTATAACAAGGTTGATAAGCGCCTGGTGATCACTACATGTGCCAATCAGGATCCTCTTCAGGCCAGTACAGGTAGTATTACGATATTTATTCATTAAACCCCAGTGAGGGGGGTTTAGGTAAAACTTGAAGTTGTAGTGTCTGGCATATATCAGGACCTGGACATGAGTATTTTTTACCTTCTTTGTCTGCCAGTTTTGTTGTCATAAATACATCCATTTCAGTGATTTACAACAAGACTTAACTTGACACTAACAAAACAAGGAAATTATGTCTCACAGACTTAAACCACTCAAAGAATTTCATACTCAGTGACTTACTGGAGCACTTGTGAAGTGCATGTATGACAGGCACATAAACTTGTGGTCAATCCCTTTTAAAGGTCACAGAATGATATTGACTGACATGCACCTTTTGATCTGTGGGACTTGATTAGCAGACAATACACTCAGGTTCAAACAAACACTGAACTTGAAATAGACTCTGACCAGCAACTTGACTAAACAGCAGGGCAATGTGATCTAGGATGTTGTTGCAAAAGGAAAAGTCTATACTAGTGGTAATCAAAGATCATGAGTGCGTTCGACACCGTCTCTTTCATATATATACCTTAAGTGACTTACCTAGCTGACTTTCTACCTCTGTC